GTTGACGAATAGTCATAAGTTCCGCTTGGCTTTGAAGTACAAGAATTTCAAGAATTCCTTATCTTTTGATTCTAGTATGGGAATGAATGATTGCGCGAGAACCAATGGCGTTCAAACTGGATTTTCCCCGGTTATGACCCTAAAAGTGTTGTCGTTTGAGATTGTCAAGGTTGATGTCATCTGACCATTTTGCCCATTTTTCCAAGAATCGTTCCACTTTTCGTTCAGTGCTCCCATGCGGCAAAAGCCAATTATCGTGCACATCTTAATGGGCTATTTCTTGTGAGAAGTTCAATTGGTCGGGAATATCAATCGCTTGTATGGTGGTTTACTCGGAGAAGGAGGGGGACCTGACGCATTCACAGCTGATGTAAGCAAAACTGCAGGAGTTATGTGTTTATCAGTTTGGAGTCACATGTTTAAACCGCCGTTCTCTACTAGTGGATCGAATCGATCACAAGAAAACAGCTGATCCTGTTCGGACGAAACTCGCCACGCGGGGGGGGGGGGGGAGAGATTTGGACGTGAAGTGTTCGCCTGCTATTTCGGGGGGATGCCGATGGCAGATAACATCTTTGGATTTCTTTGAAGATTCTTTCGAAATTTGACTGATCAGGTTTTTGTCCCGAAAACTGGAGCATAATCCTTATGAAGATTTGATGGGCTAACTGGTTGTTTTACAAGGGCGCGGCTGCCTTTCGCAAACGTGTATTATAGAAGTCGATTTCAGAAGGAAGACTGCCAAAGAAAGCTTAATAAAGAAGTAAAAGAAAGGAGAAGTTCTAGTGAAAGGTTTAGTCCCATTTGGGTCCAATTAAGTATTCACAATTTTCTTGGATTCGGAGTGTAGGGGTGGATTTTATGAGTTGTAATCTTAGAGCAATATTTTCTTTTTGCTTCGAATTTAACCTTTGTTTTCGCTCGACAGTTTCTTATTCAGGGTTTTCTACCATTTGTCAATTTACATCATCATCATATCAATCATTCTAAGGTATGATAGTGGCAAATGATCGCTGGGAGTGTGCGCGTGAAGTAGAATGATAGTGAGACCAGAGGAAGTTTCCAACCAAACGGGTTATTGATTGGGAAAGATATTTATCTGGAGTTTTTCCTAGGTCAAAATGCAGGTTACTGGTGTTTCTGTGTTAGGTGAAGTGCGGTTGAAAGCCACGAATCGCGCGCTGTCGCTTTGCAAAGTAGAAGTGACAGTCTTTCGTGAAAGCTCTAAGCCAATAACCAGCGAAATAGCGCGCTCCAATGCCGACACACACGCAACCAGCTATACTATGTTCGGCTTGGAGGGGCATTTTGGGAGTGACCATATAGTTTGGGATGACCTTATAATTACTTTTTCGCACCTCGGCATACTTGCCAGTGGGATACCCCCAGATTAATTGCTTGCACGCTGACTGGTGACCTCTCACTGCCAGGCTCACACAAGATAGAATAACGAGAAATAAGTGTATAGATGTATAAAATAGAAATTTCCAAAGGGGTAAGTGTATGTACAGGGGGGCCAAAAAAAGTCACTTTGCCTCATTGACTTTCGAGGCGCTATAAGTTACACTTTATAAATTCTGATCGGACATTTTTACTACCATATTGAAGAGCATATTAAGTACTATCACGACACTCCGCCACAGCCTTCTGGACGAACGCCATCGAGAGATTCTGGCACGCGACCGCGATGTGGTACCTGAGATCAGCGGGTAGTCGCATTTCTCCGCCACCGTAGACCACCCTATTGAACTCCGCCCGAACCTAGGGTAAATTAAGTGGGTTCAGAGTCAGGGACATACTTTCAATATTACATCTTCTTCAGGTACGAAACGCCCTTCCATTCGAAGTAGGCGGGTTTTTCCAAAACCCTTCGATTCCATGTGGTGGCACCCAAACCTGTAGCAGCACAAGGTCTCCAAGAAGGTACGGGCGACCACATGTAGGGAGGATATTCTTCTCGAGTTACTTGATGTAACCGCCAGCGCTCACCTTCAGTCGGGGTCTACAAAGAAAATATCGGTCTTTCCCATTCCAGGTACCCCGGTCCATACCATCAACTCGCGCCCCGGCGACTACAGTTGAGATGGCATATACTATACCGCAAGCGAGTGACTGAACATTGGCCGCCCGTATTGCCCCCTGTTGCTCGATGGTGGGGTACATGAATTCCAAAGGTCTTCTCCAGTCAGGCTGCGACTGGAGATGACTTCATATTTTGGTGTACATGAAGGTGATGGGCGAGAGCCAGCTCCTGTTTATAGAGGAACATCTTGGGTATCCTCCGCCCTGGTACTCGTATCCACGTCCTCTGTCTGGGCTGCAAAAACTTTGCTGATATGTGACTTGGTCAAAGTGACTTTTTTTGGCCACCCCTGTATAGAATAGCGAATGGAGACAAATGCAAAATATTACAGAGAACACAAAATCATGGAAACTGATGTAATGCGTGAAAAAAAAACGCTCAAATCAATCCTTACACCTGCTTATAGCGATTTATCGTGCCAACTGCCTTTAAGCAAGTGATCCAAGCAGTAGGCGGTAGGAGCTACACCTATTGTTGCGTTTGTCTTCTGCACTTTACGTGATGTTTTCGAGCTCCCAGTGGAACGCTCCATATCAGGACTTCTCCGGCCACTTACTCTCACAAATTGAGGAGTACTGCAAGAAAATGTCGCGGTATGTCACTAACAAGCCCATGTAGTTTCCTTTCCTCGGGATTCTGGAATGCTTGTATTTCCATGTTTTGGTAGTGTTTGTATTACAATTTATTGCCACCTTTGCTTATGTAATGATATTTCAATAAACAAAGTATAAAGTATTGCAAAACAATATTCCATATCTCGTTATTCTATCTTGTGTGGGCCTGGCAGTGAGAGGTCACCAGTCAGCGTGCAAGCAATTAATCTGGGGGTATCCCACTGGCAAGTATGCCGAGGTGCGAAAAAGTAATTATAAGGTCATCCCAAACTATATGTGCACACCCGCGCGTTTTGCATTTACTGCTGGTTTCTCTTGTTACCTCTTTCCAAACTAAAGGCCGTCTCGCGCATTGTACGGAGCCCTGTTAAACTCCTCTTAGTCTGCGAATTGTTCGAGTTGTTTTGTCACAGGAATTCACAAGTTTTCACAAGGTTGTCTGTACAAGAGAAGCTGAGTACATTCGGTGCCCACATCAAGCCGAATAGCGCCACGCTATGTTCTAATGAAGTTTAATTGGTTTGTTAGAGCCAACCTTCGAGCGGCAAAAAAACTTATTTTATTTTTCGGGACTCCTAGGGTTAATAATAACCCCTATTCACACACCAATTTTGAGAGGGGTCATATCAATGGCCCAGTCTTCCTCTACGTGATGTTCATCCCCGAGTGGTAATTACAGCTCTTCCGTCCGCTCTGTGAAGCTTTCAAGCTATTGGTCTTGTTTTTGAAATCCGAAAAACCGTGAAATTCTTCCTCGGAAATGCCGCAGTGCTACTTAGCCAGCTTTACGGGTGTTGTAGTATAATGATAACAGCCATGCTTCCGTGCAGTAATTGTTTTTCAACAGTTTTTATGTGGTAATTTCCGCAACAGCTGACGGTGGTATGTGTAAACAAGGCTGCGACTGAAATAGCGAAGTGATTCGCACGCCTTTGAGCCGTTCAGCTCGCCGCATTGTAGTGCTGCATTGTTCGCATTCCATAGCGGTCATCAAGACGCCTTTTCAATCATAGGCATTGATGAATTTGCGCTACTTCGGTGTTTTGAAAGGAGAATGATTAGTTGTAGTGGAGCTTTGCCTAACTCGACCTGTGTCTAGCAGTTGTAGCCTCCCTTTCAGAGAAAAGGTTACAGGAGTGAAGGCTCTTTCTTCATTCGGCTTCACGAACTCGTTTCGCTCTCACCATGAGTAACAAGTACAGCCGACCCTGCCGAGAATAGCTGAAACTGATTGTTGGACAAAAATCACGACCTTGTATAGGGGAGAGTCTAGAGAAGCAGAATATTGAGAAATACAGTTGGGTGAGATATCTGATGGCATTGAATCGTGCGGCCACTCTATTACTGGCTCGTTAATCAAAACATACGATGAAGAAGCAAGACAATGATTAATTGTAATGGAGCTTTGTCGAGCTCCAGCCGTGTCTGGCGGTTGTAGTAAAGACTCGATCTCCAATCGTTTCACGATAAGTAGCAAGTACACCCGGCTCCACCGAGATAGCACTGCACTAACTAGGAAAGTCCGTCAGCTCACCATGGAACATTGAATGGAGACCTGGGTAGATCGATAGAGTCTGTAGGTATTCACAAATATTGATGGGAAAACTACTGCAACCTGCATTGTCGCCACAGGCCAATCCTCTGAGGCGAGCGTAAAGGTTCGGTCAGTGGTGCAGTCAGCGTGGAGGGTCTTGGTGGTTGAAGCGCCGTGAAGCATAAGCGAGGAATCGTATACGTCGAATCGAGTCGTCGAATGTCGAACCTTACCACTGAACCACCATGACTTGATTCGCCGTATGCGATTCCTCGCTTGTGCTTCACAGCTCACCACCAAGCCTCCACCCTACGCACCATTACAAACTTTACCTGCTCATAAGTTGCTTGTGAAATGCAGGTTGCAGTTTTTGCTATTTATTTTTGTAAAATAATACCCTATAAACTATCGATCTAACCAGGTCTCCATCCAAAGTTCCATGGTAATTGGCGGACTTCCCTGGTAAGACAGGCGGTTGTACAAAAATCACGACCTTATATAGGGATGAGTCCAGAGAGACCGGGTGATAAATACTGTTGGGTGAGACATCTGTTGGAGCTCACGTCGCACGGGTACTCTACTACTGGCCCGTTAATCGATACATTTGATAGAGAAGCCACTTCACATTAGTACAAGGCAGACAACACAAATGCAATTATATAACACAGTTTACAACTTTAAAGGAAAACTGAATACATTACTGTTTCCTCGAAGGAGTCCCTCACATAATAAATTCTCACCAGATATTTAAAAAGAACTCAGTGAATGCGTTCAGGCTCCACATGAACTTGAAGTCGAGGATGAACATTTCCCAGCTGGCCCTATTGAAGAGACAAATGAATGTTCATCTACTCCAAAAAGTGTGGCAATGTCACAACCATTACCAATCGATTTACTGCCAGCTGAAACCGTAAAAGCTGATGAGGAATTCGAAGGAGGATTGAGAGTGATACTTACCGACTATAGAGTAAGTTCCTTCAAGGTTTAGTTCATTGAAGCTTAATTAATCATCAGTATGTTTTAGATCTGTCTTCTCGCCCCCAACAATCGTGCTCTGCGGGTGATTCTTATTGTAGCCATAGAAACAATCGATTTCCGAGATCCTCTGCAGATTATTATCAGCTGCAAAGAAGGTCGTGTTGCTTGGTGAGTCGGGTTTTATCTACTATTTTACCTATTAATAGAACACGTTTCGCGACTACTCGAGAGGTGGGGTCTTTTTCGTGGATGTGATTTGCTGTCCCGAGACATGGAGAATGTGCCTTTTTTGCTTCTCAAAAATGCGTCAAAGGTACCAGCGGCATATAGTTTCTCAGAAACTCCGCCTTTTATGTGGGACTCTGCCCGTTCGCCGCCTGAGATGTTAGCGCAACAAACGGAGGTGACCTAAAGTCAACTGGCCGACATGCAGTTCATTAAATCAGGTGCAGTGCTCTGAAGCGGCGGCCATCAGCTTTTTGGCATAGAGTCAAGATTCTGAAAAACTTGTGCGAATCCTTGTAGTCTCGCACATTCTTGGAAACGGCCTCATTTTGAGTCTAGACGTGCCAGGTCAGCTAGATATGGCTATACTTTTGATCTTATTTTGATGGTTTTCTTCTCTTCCTACAGTTTTGCTAATCGCTTATACGGATTTGAGATTTGTAATCTTTCTAACTCACGATTTTTTTTCTTGTATTCTGGAGATTTTCAGTTCTTCATGTTCCAAAGAATTAAAAGCAGGAATCCGCATCCTAGTCTTTTTCAATTCTCGGGCCGAGCGACTAAAATGATTTGCGCGGCGGATACGCTATTAGAGTAGTGTCAAAGTAAGGAACTGTCGCCCCCCCCCCCCCCATCCCCCCAAAAAATACAACTCCTGAAGTCCGCAACCGCGCGCAGGGAGGGGGAGATTGGCCTCGCTCGATTACCGTGTGAGTAACCAGTTGGTTGGCCGGCGCTGCCAACTCGAGATGTGGAGATAGGGGCTTCTTAGATGGTGAAAGAAGTCAAAATATGACCAAATACGACCCCGTCATCCCTAAATTGGGGTGTCTCAACATAATTCTGCATAATTAATAATTTCTGTACTATATGAAGTCAAGTACTTACCGATCGAGTACTGGGGGGGAGGGTGAAGTAGTGATCGAGTACCGCTTGCGCGATCTTTTGGCGGATTGACGCTTGCCCGGTCATTTGTTTGGGAAACGAGCCCGTTCGTGAGATTTGTGAATCATTTCTGTGGTTGATGCGCATAATGATAGGAATCAAATCGATTGTGAGGGATTCGATTGAGAATGATCGATAGTGGCAGGTTGATGGAACGCTTTATAGATAGTGACAGAGGTTCTCTGTGATACACTAGAGGGGGGGGGGATTGGATTGACAGCACCAATGCACCTACGGATTGATAGTTTGGGTTAATGTGATCCTCGTTTAAAAAATTGATTACGAGAGATAGGAGCTTTCTGAAGCATTTCACTTTCAATGCCTTTTACAGTTTACGAGCTAAAACGACGGAGAGTGCGATTTCATGGCATAAAATGCTCTACAGAGCTGCGAATCGTGTCAATTGTCAAGAATTGTTCGCATGGAGTTTCGCCAGACAGGTTCGTCGATCCGTCTTATCAATGTTTTTCAGCGTCTCGTTTTTTATAGTTTTTTTTTGGGTTGGTGGGGGCATTTGCTATCTCTCATCGACCACTGTCGATATCTCCTGTGAAAACATGTGGACTCCTACGAACCTATGCAATGACAGAGCTTCTTTCGCACTTAACAAGAATTTACAGATCTCTTCAAAGTGTGACATGTAAATTAACAGGAACTATCAAGAAAAAACGAGCGAAAGTGTCAAATGCCCCTTCCAATGCGAAAGCGCTGAGTTTTTTTCTAATGATTCGTTTTTTTTCAGGTGAGAAAGTCGAAGTACTCGTGGTTAACCGACACAGAACCTGTCGGCGATGAAGTGCTTGTTCGCAAAGAATTTGCCCGCCTCGACTACGATCGTGATCATTTTCGGGTTTCCGATGATAATAAGGGATTCACGTAAGTCAATGGGCCATTTAAGCGTTTTTCAGTAGGTGCTGAGATTATCGATTTATTGATTTGCAGGTTGTCACCTACTTATCCGGAGTATATGGTCATTCCTAAAGAAATCAGTCGTGAGGATTTAGTATACGGGAAGGATTTTCGTTTTCTCCAACGATGGCCTGCAGTGGTGTGGAAGTGTAAAGAAACGGTAAGATACTTACTTTTTGTGAGCGCTATTCTAATAAGGGGGGGGGGGCATTATGGTCATTGGAGGGAGTTGTATTAAGCTTGACTGTTTTTTTTGATCGTTAATTTTTCCTGTTTCACGCGCGCCATCCATATCCTTGGGAGACGCCTATTGAGGGAAAGGTCGTATTTGCCCGTCGCTTTGAGAGAGAGGGGTATGCAGCCTCGACAAGGTTTCTTCCCGTTGTCGAATTTTTGAGATTTCTGTTTCCTGTGAAACTTTTGAGAAGTCGCAGCAAGTGGTGCGAGGTTAAGAAAACTTGGGAAAATAGAAGGTAGGCTGAGTAAGGTGGAGGGGGTCGTACCAGAAACATATTTAGGGAGTCGTATTTCGCAGAAACTTCTTAGAGGCAGGACATGCCCTGCCAGGGAGGGGGGAGAAGCTGGTGGAATCCTTCGTGCAGATTACGGGCTACGGTACTTTGTGCAAGGAGCCGTTTGAAGCTGCGAAATGTTAAGAGCTTTGTTCCCGCGCCATTTCTTAGACTTTTTTCCTGCTGAACGGCATTTCATATCTGAATCGATTGCGAGACAGGTGCGATGAGGGTTTTTGGCTGGATTCAGTCTAAAGAGCGAGGGTTTGAGGGTATATTAGTACTGTAAGAAAAGTGTAACGTTCGCAGCGATTTTTTTGTGCCTTGTAGGATCTACACGGGAACGTCTTTTCTCACTGCAATAGCGTTTTCTGTGCGTATTTCGGCTTGGGGGGGGCATTTCGCGCCTTCGCTGCTTTCCATTGTCGTGTCGAACCAGCAAGTGGAGACCTGTAAAATCTTGTGAGGCTACGAAATGATGCCAGTCAAAGTTTGTGGAAATTGCCTCTCAACCCTTTCAACTCCTTCGCGTAATGAACACGTCGATAGCAAGTAGCAGAAGTGCAACTAATCCCCTTCCCCCCGTCGCAGATCTGCACGGTTTCTAGCATATTTTGTATCTTGTACGTACTCATTTCGTTCGCGTAGTGCTTTTCTTTTGCAGAGAGCCGTCTTACTACGCAGTAGTCAGCCAGGGCTAAGTATTTTTGGTTGGAGAAATAATGCCGACGAAAAGTTCTTTGAATTGGTTCACAAATATCTTGACACCTATTGCGCGGGTATGTGGCTTTTTTTTACATTTTTTTTTCATTTTTCATACTTTTTGGCTCTGTTGAAACTTTTCTATAAGTGATTTCGTAAGTGACTGGAGAGAATGGCCGGAGCTGGTGTAGCAGATGTCCGGAGTTCAGTACCTTACATTTTAAAAAATGCCGGAGTAGGAGAAGCAGCTCTTCCATAGAAGAGGGGTTTCCACTGTTTGTGAAAGAGATTGCTGCCACCCACGCTTAGAGCTCCTGTGACTCTGCAAAAGCTCAGGTAGAACTCGTCTGGTCACAGGTACTGCGGACCTATGCTGCGCTAGGCCGTTTCTCGATGCATATAGGGGAAGTCTATCGGGGACCACTGTTTATAAACGGCGTATAAGTTCGCGCAAGGATATGTTAATTATGGATGCTCGATCCTATGCAGCAGCTTGGGCCAATCGTGCGAAAGGAGGAGGTTTTGAACATCCAGGTATGTGATAGGTCAAATTTCGCGGTCTTTCATTGTTCTTGGCGAATTGGTATTAGAGAATAGTGCATTTTTTATATGATTGCTGTTTGTCTCCATAGTTCGCCATGTGAAAGCTGTCCTGAAAATGAAGAACATGGGCAAAACGCTTGACCCTAGCCTGGCAACCAGAGGGCATAAGGTACACGTGAAACGGAAAAAGGAGTGAATAGAGGGCAGGGGGGGGGGGAAGCGGCGAACATGAGAAAAGAAGAACCGGGAGAAGTGAACCTAGATAAATTTTTCTAGTGGCTGTGAGAGAATTTCCGTCAGAGGGGAATATTGTCTACCCCTCGCCAGCGCTCAAGTTAGCCCTACCCATCCTAAGCGAATTCTCGATACTTTTCTATTTCCATTAGCGTTCAGCATACAAGCACAGTAAGCATGAGGATCATGTGCATGCTCTGGCGTGGGGCAAGCGTTTTGCCCGGAACTCGCCATACTTACTGGCGTGGTCCGGCGTGGTGGGGGCACCGAATGATATCAGCCAAGCTTGCATAGGCCACTCGCGCCATTTCACAGTTTCACGAAAGTTTACAGGTCCGAATAAAAGGAAAACATGTTATTAACATGACTAAACAAAAGAAATTAGAGAAAGTGCAATGCCCGCTTCAAGTAACAGCGTTTCCTCTAGGTAGTATAGAAATTCATGCTGCTATGATTGAATGGCCATCCGCTATGAAAAACAGAATGGAAGGGTTTGACCGCTCGGGGGGGGGGTGTCGTAACTACCTTTGATTCTTCCCGTTCAAGGCGCTCACCATTGACAGGTATGCCGCAATCCGGTTGGTGATGAGGGGGGGGGCTGTAAAGAAGTTTCTCGCGTTGTGAGGAAAATCTTCCGATTGTTTTGAGCATTCCACGTGAGCTGGAGCCTTATCCCCCCATTCAGGAGGAGAAATATGGAGGGGGAAAACGTATTAATCCAAAATTCCGCTTAACACGATGAAGTGCTCTGTTTCATATGACCAATATTTACAGAGTATTACCAGCGAACTCGCGTTGACTGGCTGGCTTTGCCGAACATTCACCATGTGCGATATTCATTCCATCAGTTGCGAGCATTGCTCTGTTCTAATCAGAATAAAACTGGCGAGTCGTATCTCACGGTGAGTAGGCGTTAATCTGCTCTCCAGTGGTTAATCTCTTAATTTCTTGATTAAATTGGCGATTTTATAGGCATTGGAAGCAACTGGCTGGTTAAAATACATCAAAGACTTGATGAATTCTGCTCGAAAATGTGTCGACACGCTTTTCGATGGTCAGACTTATTGCACTTGACAACCTCTATTGTCTTCTTGTGTGTGTATGCGCGCGTTTTTGCTCTTTGCAGTGGCTTCTATGCAAATATGTTCAGGCCAGTCCGTGTTGGTCCATTGCTCAGACGGATGGGACAGAACGACGCAGATCGTTTCATTGGCGAAGTTAATGGGTGACGAGTATTATCGAACTGTACAGGTTAGGACCTCATCAATAAGTTTATTAGAGTGCGTTCATACTTTGTTTCAGCGTTTTAGCGTTTCGAGCGACCAGGAAAGTATAGATATCTGTCTGGCATTTCGAGCGTCCGCTAGAGTTTTGAGCGTTTCGCGGGTAATTTCGAATTTTTCTCGGGCAGTTGCTGGAAACGATGGCGTACGCTCGAAACGTTGGATCGATATCCATTCGTTCTTAGTCGCTCAAAACGCTGACGCGAAGAAGTACAAAACGATTGGAAACCTTGTTCTACATGCAACCAGG